TAAATCCAGTAAAAGCCATTTTTTGCTTTTTAGAATCTGTCTCTCAAAAAAAACCAACCCAACCCAAAAGCCATCCCTTTTTCCCCCTGAAAGCCTACCAGATAGCATGATACTTCTAGTAGACTTTTTTGTCCCCTTTTTTAATTGTACCCTTGATTATGGGAGGTACTTAAATCCTTAAATAATACTTCTGTATTTCACAATAGGTAGACAGTTTGTTGCTTATTCCAGGAATTAAGAAATTGTGTCACAGTTTTTCGGGTTGTTAAACTTTCTCTTACCCGCTCGTGTTTTTAGCATACAGGGTTCAAAGTGCCGCTGTTCTTTGAGGTCACGTACGTATGTGCGCTGGCAGAAGAGACAGAAACGGACTTTGCAACGCCGATGCTTTGTTACTAATTTTATCTTTTTGGATTATGTTTCACATAAGAGGTTGCCTGGGCGAAAGGCTGTTGGAAGAGTGCAACAGTGTGCTTTGTGGCATAGCAGGTCCGTTGCCTCTAAGACTGGGCACAGCCCTGATGCTACTTGTCTAGTAATCACAACTGGAACAGCTACTGAGAGGACTAATGGACTAGAGGACTAGAGGACTGCATGGCATGTTGGAGCCCAAGTGAAAGAAGGAGAGGGCATGAGAGTAGAAGTCATGTTCATAAGTTTGCTAATAAGAGGTTTTCATGTGTCAGGCAAGAGCACGGGTAGAAAATAGGAAGATCGGAATTGTTTCGCTTACAAATGTGGGAGCTGCCTTACTGGACCAGACTGTCAGGCTACCTAATCTGATAGAGCTGCCACAAACAGGTTACAGGCTTTGGAAAAATTTGCAAGAACCTGCTGGTGATTAATGCTGTCTCCGATTGCCATATAAAGGCTTGTGTTTCTTAATAATTTTTGTTGTGTTTGCATGGAGTCACCTCTGGCCACATTGTCTCTCTGGGGCACTCGGAGCACCTATCTCGGAGCTCAGCAGTGCATCGGAGCTGTTAACTGTCGGGCAGATCCCTTTGGCAGTTGTTCCCATTCGTATAGTATTGGTGGCTTTTTTATGGTTCTGTGGTCTCCGATGATTGTAAGTAACCAGAAGCAGCTCAGTGATCTGAAGCAATAGTCTCACCTGCCAGCTCTGCCGTTTTGCTGTAGGGCTGCTTTGCAATCTCTGCACAGTTACCAGGGAAAGTTTTCCCCTCATGACTGAAATTCAGCTTGCTCCCAGGCTGGGCTTTGCTGGCAGTGGAAGCAAAATTCCACCCAAAGGTGCCACCTGGAGTCCAGAAGGTTGTTTGGGAATTTGTTTGGGTTTCATTTCCTAGATTATTCTATGTTATTTTGCTTTTGGAACTAAAAAGGTACTCATGTATGTACTTTCCAGTACAGCTGAGCTTTGAAATGCTAGTGGCTGATGGAGTGCTTTGCTTCCAGGTGGTTTGTCTTAAATCTCCAACACAGTCAATTTATAATTCTTTTATTTTGAAAACTCTGTTGCAGAAAACTGCATTGTTTTGTAATGTAGCCAAAGCCTCTATCCCCTTTTGCCAAAGTGTGGCTAATGGGAGAGTTTTGTAAGACCAGTCGAGGCTGACTCGTTTGAGGTGGAGGAAGTGGTTCTTTGTTGTTAATGTCCTCTTCATTTATACCTGCACTTGGTTTTCTTTTGTCCTTTGAGCAGTCATTGAACACCGATGGAGCTTCATCAGTTGGCCTTGAGTTGCATGGTGGTTTTATGAAAAAATAAGTATTTGATACCTTTCTTTTGTTTCTTTATAATATGTGTTGTTGCTTTATAATTTTGTCGCATAGGATGGGGGTTAGGGGAAGGTTTGTCTTGAGTTTTCCAGCTGGTGATAAAAGGCTCGCAGGTCAGTAAGTCATAGGATGGTTCCTGTTTGGGTTCTTTTTGGTTTGTTTTATTGTTTTCTGAGTACAGTTTTTGTTTCCCCATGGCACTGTAACTGACAGACGGACATTACCTGCTTTTCTTACGGTTTTGCTACTTGCCTTAGCTTGCCCTGAAAGCTGTATTGGGAAGGTGGGTTCTCTATTTTAGTACTGCAGGGGTAAATTCAGCCACGTACTGGAACCTGGAGATTACAGCCTCCTCTGGACAGTTGAAGAGTTCTTAGGTCTTCAAATACCCATATCCAAACTCTGCAAGAGAAAACAAATCAACTTGAAAAATAAGTTCTGAACTTGTCATTCGTGTTGAAAAAAAGAAAAAAAAAAAATACAACTCACTAATGAGTTTCCAAGCATATGCGTGCTTTGTATCAATTTTGTTTCTTAGAGGAGTAAAAGGTATGGTTTTGCAGAGGTGAAGTAGCTTGTTTTCTTTTAAGGTGACAATTGTTCAGAGCTGATTAGCTGTTACATTGGGTCTAAAGCTTTGTTTTGGGCAAAACATACTAATAAACTAAAATTATTCAAAGCTGAAAAACATTTTTCAAGCAATTTAAATATCCCTATGGAGTATTTGCAGCAGAAACATTGCATGAAGGAGCCGTAAAATACAACCGAGCTGGAAGGGGCAGACTGGCTTCTTTTATGCCATTTGCTGCTTCTTCAGAAATAAAGAAAATGAAGAAATAAAAGAAAAGCAGTTGTAGCTGAACAGTTACTTAATTTTTCAACAGACCCCCACTGTGATCCTGGTATGTGGGTCGCTTGCCAGTGCTGAATTCAGCTCAAGACACATGTTGTGAAATGGGAGCTGCAGGGTTACACCTAATGCTACTTGTATTTCTAATTGTTTCAAAACAAAAAATTTCAACTGTCTGACAATTAGATAGATTGGAAAATAACTTGCACAATGGCTTCTGGTACTTCATTGGTTCTAAAGGGTTTATTTTGCTTATTTGTTGGTTGTTTAGACCCCTCCAAAAGGTTAGCGAGAGGGAAGCGAGCAGCTCTTTTCCCGTCGCTGTTTGTATATGGCGACTTGAGCTGGTTTTAAGAGCAGAGCAACCTGAATACTAAAACTAGAGGTTGTCTAGATGAAAGGATGTGTAAATATCGAAGGGCTTAAAATGCTGTCAGCAGGGTTGATAAACCCCATTCTTTCTTGGGCAGAAGGAACGATACTTAATGTTGTTGTTTGTGAAATAATTCTCCTTTGCATCACTGCAATACTGCGCTGCATGGCTCTTTGTTTGGTTTAGTCTAATGGGGGGAA